ACTTCAGAGCTGAGACTCTGGGCAAGCTACTTTGCCTCCCTAAAGGTCAGCTCCCAAATCTTTAAAACAGGAACATTAACAGTAATTACTTCATGGGAGTGTTGTGAGGATTCAATGAGTTAACCCATAAAGTGCTTAACAAGAGTGGCTGGCACAGAGTAAGTGCTTAACAATCTTAGCTGTAATTAGTCCACAGTGAGTCTATTAGGTTCTTAAAAAATATCCCCTACTGTGATATACCTGCCCGCACTTGTGGTGCTATGAAAGGGTGGGTAGGGTAATGCCCACCTGGGCTGAGAGTTTGACCATAACCTCTCTTAGGGCCAAAACTTTACAGTATGACAATATGGTCTTCTTCAAGGGAAGCCATTTATCCTTATGAATAAACATACCATCTTGAATATTCAGCATGGCTTTCTTCTAAAAGTTTCAAATTATGAGTGTGCATTTATTATTTATGCCTTCACAACGGCCTCCTTAAATTGCTAACATCAGATGCTATTTCCAAATTTTTGTGCAGTAAAACTACGGCACTCAGGGGTCGTGGGTGACTCATGATGAGCAGTCACCCCTGAACTAAGGTGCAGACCCTGACTCCCAGGTCAGCGGGCATCCCCTGCTCCACCCCATCAGAAGCCTGGAGAGGAGGCAGGGGGTAGCAGAAAGAGAACAGACCCCAAAACCAAACGGTTTGGGGCTCAGTTCTGCTGTGCAATAGCTCTTTGAGCACTCAAAATTATTTAACCTCTCTTGGGCCCAGTTTATTTTGCTTTTCAAATGTGCAAAGCTTCTAGCTCAGTGCCTGGGAACACAAGAAGTACTTACGAAATAGCACTTTCCATTTGCTTTACAAATACTCATTGATCTGCCTTCTCCTCACCATCTCTGTGTGGATGTCCAATTAGGCATTTCAAATTTAAACTGTCCCAAACCAAACTCTTGATTTTCCCCCACAACCTGTTCTTCTCGGAGTCTCCTCCAGCTCCCAAATGCCATCCCACCCCTCCAGCCACCTCGGGTCATCCTCAACCCTGATGTCTCTTACTCCCCACATCCAATCAACAGAGCTACCTGACAACTCAACTTTCAAAATGTATCCCTAATATATCTTTCACCTCTACTGCTCCAGCTGGGTCTGAGCCAATAATCATCTTACCTGGATGATTCCAAAAATCTCCTAAATGGTTTCCCTGCTTCCTCATATTCTCAAAAGGGCAGGCAGGATGATCCATTAAAATCATAAATCAGATCATGTCATTCCTGCTTAAAGCTGGACAACGGCTTCCCATCACTGAAGGGCAAGTCAAAATCCTCCCACTGCCCTGCAGACAAGGCCTCAGTGATCTGCCCTCAGCAGCCGCCGCCCCTCTCCTGGGCTCACTCTGCTCTCACTCCATCCCATGCCTCAAACAAGCCAGGGACACGGCTTCTGAAATCTCACACTTGCTGTTCCTTATGCCTAGAACACTATTCCATTCTTCCCCTAGACGCCTGGCATGCTTGTTCTCCCAACTTCTCCAGGTTTTCGCTTATATGTCACCTTTCTTGTAAGACCTTCCATTACCACCCTATTTGAATATCAAAACAGTGTGTGCACGCGCACACACACAGGTACCCCTATCTCCTTCCTTAATTTCCTCCAGAACACTTATCACCATCTAATAAACTACATATTTTGCTTGTTTGTTTATTGTCTGTCTCCCCCCACTCAACTATACACTCACAGGAATAGGGGTTGGGTTTCTTTTATTCTTGCAACATTCCCAAGTCAGAAAACTCCTTGGCAACTAGTAAGCTCAGTGAACATGACTGAACGAGTGGCTCCTAATTTTAGGCATTAATGGCACGTCTGAGTCTCTCTGTGAAGAATCAGCGGCTCTGAAGATCCTCCTGTGGTTGGACCTGGTTTGATAAGGTGCAGACTACTGATGGGAGGGAGGCACAGGGAGCATGTGGACATCCTCAGGAGGCAAACAGTGCAGCCCATGGCAGAGGCGGAGGATGGGTCTAAGCTCTTCTTACTAAAAGGCTTCTTACCAGATTCTCCACGTAAGGCATGTAGGTAAGGGAGACTTCATAGCACCGTTAATGAGTCCAGGGTATATGTGATCTGAACACAAGAGCCCCTGCAGCCCCAGTTAACTAGCTGTTCTGAAACAGAGAAAAATTAACAAGGCCAAATTGCATCAATGTCACTCAAAATGTTACAGTTAAAGATGGCAACTGCAATTGCCTTTAGGAGAGGGGAACTCTCCCTCTTGGACCAGAACGTTCTGAGTTTATGGGTCTGCCTGAAGGGGCTTTCTGCCTGTCCATGACCTGGCTTCTAACCGTTCCAGTTTAGAAAAAAATAAGCACCAAAAAAAAAAAAAAAAAGTGTACAAATGAGGGCCATAGGGAGAAGAGAAGAGTTTACTTATTTTCTTTTCACCTCTGTATTTTCCCAGGAAGGTTGTGGGGGTGGGCGTGGCGAAACCTCAGATGTTATTCTACTCCTTTGCTGGTGAGAGAGAAAAATGTAACACAGTCAGCCTTGTTGGTGAGTTCCTTGAAGGCAGGTGCCGGGTTCTGGATGGTTTTAGATAACAACAGATATTCCTCTGCACAGTGGGGGCTCAACAAATGCTAGAAATAAACCAATAAAAGAATGAAAAAATAAAATGCAGCCCATTAACTCAGCTCCTTGCATTCCTTCCCCCTATCTTGGCCCATATACTCAGCTCTGCCCCAGGAACTGCCTTGAATCTCAGAGCCCTCCAAATCCAAATCCTTGGGCAGCTCTGGGAGCAGCAAGAGCCCTGGGAGCCTTCCCTTCCACCGATGATATGAGGGATTTAATACCATGATCATATTCTTGTCGTTACTGGCCAGAGAAGCCCACGAGCACCATGGCAGGCCCTAGCTGGGACAGAATAAATGTGATGTCCTAGCTACAATGTTACAATTAGTGGCCACCTGTTCCAGTGATTCCGCTGAGCTACACTTACCCAAGGGGGTCTGGTAGCTCTGAAGGCACATGGCAGGTTGCGTTTCTCGGGACGCAGACTCTGACGTGGAAGTTAGCACGCGGGAGGTTAACTTAGGGAGAGCTCTTGGGGGCAGCACGTGTGACAGTGAAAGGAAGGAAGCAGGACTAGACACTCGAGGGAGTGCTACAGCGGATCCCGCGCGAGTCCACAGTCATCGGGCATTCCACAATGTGGGGTGCCCCAGGAAGGGGGCGTGGCCGCGGGCACGTGACTTTCTTGGCCTGAGGCCATCCCCAAAGGGGGCTGAGAGCTGAGGGCCATCTGCAGGCAGCACTCCCCGCAGCTGGAGTAATAAGCCCTTTATTCCCAAAGGGGAACGTGGGCGTCCACTGCACACACCACTACTATCCGCGAGACAGAGCACGATGGCCACCTCCTGCGTGAGGCCTGCCCAGCTGCCTTCTCTGACCCTCTACAGGAGAGGTGATAACTCTCACTTCCTGTCGTTGCTCATCTCCTTTTTTCCTGAGCCCAATGCACAGCCTGACACCCAGGAGGGCTGCAGTAAGTGCCTGATGAATAAATACCTCACTGAATAACAGCCAGCACCATAAAAATATGCAAAATACCATGTAATAAAAAAGAAACTGCCCCCAAGGAGTTCAGTGTGATCAGGAAAACAAGCAGAAATGAGAGGGGAACTTGAAGAGAGATGCACATGGAAGCCAACACACACACGCATTCTGGTCTCAACTCTGGGCCGAACCCTGCATCCTGTCAAGCTTCAGTTTCTTTCTTTGTGAAATAAAAGGACAGATTCAAGCATTCTATGAAGAGGAGATTAGAAAATTGAGACACATTCAGTTTTGACAGTTTTGCTAAATGATGTCTTTATGAGTGTCATTATTGACTTGGGTAAGGAAAGCAAGTTTTGATCCTGACAAGAGAAAGAGTCTGAGGGTCGGAGTGTCTCTTGCATGATATGCTAAGGATTTTTTTTGCAATTAGCCCAGAGCTAAGAGGCCCCCAGAAGGAAGCGGGCAGAGACTGAAGTGGGCAAGGAATTTATTCTTCTGTCCATGAATGAAAACAGAAACCAACTGGAATATCCTGTGATTTATGAAAATGTGTGATTTAAAATCACTAAGTAGTATCTCACCTTCACAGCATAAGGAGCTATAGAGAAGAGGCAGGAGGGATCTTAAACAAAGAAGCCAGAGTGCAATTAAAAAAATAAGAAGACATAAAGAAAAAAATCTCATTGCCAAACTTATCTCTCACTGTATTTGTCTAAAATAGAGAAGAATTTTAAAAATAATGTGGTTTTAAGGAAAACATCTGGGAGAGGAGTATTAAAATAATAGTCCAAGATTTGTGCTAACCTGCCACTTCTCTCATGCATCCATGCCAGAGTTAAATACACCTATTGGGCTCACAATTTCCCATCGATACTCTCACAAACCTTGGCGTGCTGACAACAGCTAAATATTAGCTAAGAAGAAACTACCCAGACCAGAAGGAACATCTTGTAAAGCCAAACTTATACACTCCTTAAAATGATAAACCACAATGTTAATGAAAGCAAAAGCCATAAGAACATTTTCAAACACTCTAATCAATATCCATCTCCATCACCTCACAGGCTTTCTCAGGAAAGCATCATTTGAAGAAAAGAGAAAACCAATAAATGCATGTCTCTACACAAGTAAGTCAACACTCAATTATCTGCACACAAAATATACACGTTTGATATTTATTTCTTATAAAACAATTCAGCAACCCTAAATGGTGTTCTTCCTAGGAACACAGACCTAACCTCTTCATTTATTGAAGAAATGCTAACAAATTCCAGTTTTACTCTAATATATTTCAAATGGCAGTAGAGTTGATACTCAACTATATTTGTAATTCCTTATCCATTTCATTAGCATGACTTCATTAAGAGTTAACTTCCTATCTTTAAAAAATACAATCACTCTTCTTGGCATGCTGACACTTTCAAAGATACCAGAAAAAATGGGCAACTAGTACCTTTGAACTTGTGGAACACAGCCCACAGCTCTGCAATGTCGGTTGCAAATGTGATATCTGTGTCAAGGACGATGACCCTCTCCAGGTTGGCAGGAAGAGTCTTGGTCAGGACGAGCTTCATCAGACCATAAATTCCAGAGTAATGTTTGTTGGGGATCCAGGAAACTTCAGACTAGACAAGGCAGCAAAGAGAGGGAGTAGGAGAAAGAAAGAAAAAAAAAAAAATCACTCCATTAATTTTTTGCATAAACATTATAAATTTCCTGGTACATAAAAAGTATCCAATAAAAATTTGAATAAATGAATGAATATTTTCTTAAAGATTTGTTCATGTCATTTACAGTTTGGCACGTGAAGTTTTTTGGAAGAAAATGTCGTATCTGATTCAAGGGAGAAGAAAAGTAATGTTTATGAAATAACTATTACATGCAAACACTCTGCTCAGATCTTTAAAAATAAGATTGCTGTTATTATAGAAATTATATAGGCTCATTGGAGAAAATAAGAATATGCACAAAAGAAGAAATAAAAGTACAAAAATTGAGGGGCCGGCCCGGTGACGCAAGTGGTTAGGTGCGCACGTTCCGCTGCGGCGGCCCGGGGTTCGCCGGTTCGGATCCCGGGTGCGCACTGACACACCGCTTGTTAAGCCATGCTGTGGCGGCGTCCCATATAAAGCAGAGGAAGATGGGCATGGATGTTAGCCCAGGGCCAGTCTTCCTCAGCAAAAAAGAGGAGGATTGGCATTGGATGTTAGCTCAGGGCTGGTCCTCCTCACAAAAAAAAAAAAGTACAAAAATTGAATCATACTATATGTATTTTTTTGCAACCAGTACATAATTGTTCCTAGGTAGATATATTTCTTTAAATTATATTCCGTTTCTGTGTCATTAACGATTACTACTTAATGGTATTGTTAAAGCTTACGCTCAGCTGGTTTTTTTAAGCTGTAACTGAACAGATCAGCGTTGCTGCCTTCTCTTGGTTCTCAAACATATGAGGAAGACCTGGTCATAATCTATGCAACACTCTTCACCGGGCAGCAAGAGGATGCACACACACAGAAGGATAGAAATGAACAACACATGGAGTGCTAACATTGAAATACTCATGTAATATAAAGGAACAACAACGTCCCACAACTGGGTAGAACCGTTAGCAAGTCATACACCTTGGTACCACCTGGTACCCAAAGGCAAGGCTAATAATAGTACATAACATCAACGTGATGAAAATTTTCAAAGGTACAGGTCATTTATGAGGGTCACTATGGGTAGGGACCCCATCTTAGCTGCCGTGGAATCTCCATGGAAACCAAAGCAAATAATTTTCAAGAAATTAACACTCATAATGGAACACTTTAATGGAAAATGTGGCCACTTTATCAAGATTCCAAAAGACTACTCATCTCTTTTGTCCCTATAATTCCATTTTGAGGATATTGTTCTTAAAAACAAAAAAAAGAGTCAAACTTAAAAATGAGAAACTCAAGCTTTATTTCCAAAGATGTTCATCACCATGTTATAAAAGCAACAGCAACAATCCAAATGCCCCAAAATTGAATAGTTAATTAAAAATGGTATTTTTCTTATTTGATAGCATACTATGCAATGGCTAAAAACAATGTAGATTAAGATGTAATAAAAAGAAAGCTGCAAACGATGTCAAAAGAAAAAAAGTTTTAAAATTGCTTTTGCTTAATAACCACGATGTATAATCAAACAACAGGCAAACACATCCACCCAAATTCATGCAGAGAAAGAAGAAATGGAAGGACAGCATGGAATTACGAATAGTGATCATTTGGGGATGATGGGAGCATCAGTATCTTGCTCTCTCTCTCTCTATGTATATATACATACATATATATATATATCTACATACACATATTCAACTAATCTATATTTTTCAAGTTTTTTCAATGAGCTTCTACTGTTGTAAAGAAAAACTTAGCACTGCATTCTTTGTAAACATATCAAGATCTGGTGATGATGGGAAAACAGGAATGCAAGAGGCTGATTTAGGAAAGCTATGAGAAAGGATGCCCTTTGATAACTCTCATGATCCATTCCATCTCTCAAAGCCACTCCATGCCATGCTTTCATCTTCAGTTTATTTGAAAATGTCACTTTAGCTACTCCTATTCTCATCTCAGTTTTGCAATGGTCCTTTGCATAAGTGAGCACAATTTTGACCAGGAAAAAAAAGAAAACATAAACTGAAGGACTGCACTATTCCCCATGTGTCAGTCTCAAGAAAAAGAATCGTCAACTCTGTCTACAGTCCCCGTCACCTTGTTCCTGGACAGCGTGGAGGAGCGAAAAAAGAGATAACAGTTACAATCTGGACTCCAGCACCATACAAGTTGTTGATCTTGCTAAGCCTCAGTTTCTTTACCTGTAAAATGGAGACGCTGCCTACATCACACAGTTGATGTCAAAATTAAAGGAGGTTAAAGGAGTCAAGTGCTTGTGGTACACTAAAGACCCTCAGCAAATATACGCTCCCACCCATCTTCCCGATTCCCCTTCCTAATTTCAAGTGTCTAGGTAGCTAGGCCTCTAACTGCTTCCTATTGAGGGTGGGGGGTCTCGGGGATACAGTACAGCATTAAACCTTGGGTTCTGGAGTCAGATGCACCTTGATTCAGATTCTGACATTGTTACTTAGTGGCCACTTCATCTTGGACAAGTTTGCTCAGCGTTTCTGAGCTTCTGCCATGTATAAAAGGCAGTTACTTCTAGGGCTCAGTGCATTGTATCAGTCAGGGTGCAGGTGGAAACAGCACACTCGAACTGGGTAATCTGAGGAAAATGTAATAACAAAAGGACTGTTTACCAAACTGTGTGCAGAATTTAGGGGCAGTAACAAGAAACTGTGCAGCACCCCGGGAGGTGAAGAGTGGGGGGCTGTTACCACCCAAGGCCTGAAGGGCCAATGCCAGCAGCTGCTGGAAACCAGAGAGGGCACCCAGATGAATAAGCCACCCGGCAGGAGCAGTCACCTTCAGCAGAGGGACACGGCTGACCTGTGGCAATCCCACAGGAGGAAACAGGGAGCGAGATCTCAGCCTCTCTCTCTCTCCTCCTGCCCACAGGTCTCCGGGTAGGGTGCCCCACGGGATAAACCCGAATGGAAGGCAGCGGGAAAGGAAGGTCAGGGACTCAGCCCTTATGCCTCAGCATCATGGGGCACAAAGCAGAGTGGAGAAGGGCAAGAGAGGACCTGGAGGGACAAACCCAGCACAGCCAGCACAGTCATTATATTACAAATGACGGCAAGACCAACGCACAACGTCTTATACAAAACAGATGCAAAATGCATCTCTGTGGGGTGGGTGGGTGGACGGAAGGATGGGTGGACAGACGGAAGGATGGATAGAAGGATGGACGAACGGACAGATGGCACAGGAAGGTGAGTCATTTGTCTGTAATCCCAAAGCAAGCAAGATACAAAGCTAAAGTTGGAATTTGCCAGGCGAATGTCTGTCCTTCCCCTATAGCTAGCTTCCTGACTAGCCATCACCTTAAGATCTGAGGCCTGAGGCCTCGGAAAGTAACTCCCTCCATTGGCTTTATAAAACTCTTCCTCAGGAAAGCCCCGGCCTTTGGAACTCAGCTCTGTTTCTTCCCTCCCCTGAGAATCTGCCTGAACTGAAGCCTGGCAATCATCGGTCCATGCTGCAGAGCCGTGCGATTTAATCAGACCTTTGATTAACGTATTCATCTATTTTGGTTACTGTCAAAGCAGGAGAGCCTGGTGAAGACTGAACACCAGAGCGTGGGGTTAAGCCGTCTAATGAGATTGCCCTGACACCCGGCTGTATTTTTCCTTCACATGGGAGGCACTTGGATGCACCACGGAACAGTAGGACTACAGGAATAAATTAATCTCAACATGAGCCCAGGCCTGAATGTCACCCCAAGTCCCCGACTTAATACATAATCAATTAAGTCAGAGTGTTCAATTAGAGGAAAAGGAAGCATTCAAATGAGTTTATACTCAGAAAGAAAACCCCAGGAAAGGGTAGAAAACTAAGGAATTTTTTGGGGCAAAGAACACGTGGTAAGCAGCAGATACATTTATTATAAATGGCTCATTCTCGTAGAACTAGCATATAACATGCCCTCTTCCCACCCTTCATCCAAATCCTGCTCTTTCCTCAGTCTCAACTTAGAAGGCGCCACCCTCCAGGCGCCACCTCCCCACTGCCCCAGGCTGGCTGAGGGCTCCCGAAGCAAGCTGTTTCCTTTCCTCTTACACAGCATGCGATCACACTGTGTCTAATTTTCCATGTCTCTCTCCTGCTCTGGACTGGAACTCCTTAAGGCAGGGACAATGTCATTTTTACTGTGGTAACAACATAGTTGTTACTCAAACATGTTTGATAATGTGCGTGACTCTGGAGTTAGCCCGCCTTGGGTTCAAAGCCAACCTTTGATAGTTTTCGCAACCAGGAGCAGGAGCATCCCTAATTGCTCACGTCCAGGGTCACTACAGTACAATGGAAGAGGCATGGCTTGTTGAGCCCCAAAGCCTGGGCTTTAGCACCAGTTCCTCCACCAGGTCCAATAAGCTATGTGACCTCAGACAAGTTATTTAACCTCTACGAGCCTTAGTTTTCTCATCTGCAAAATCGGGGCTTAGAACACTTACTTCACAATATTCCTGGGTGGATTGCAAAGCATCTGGTGTACTGCTGGGCATCCAGCGGACCTCTGTAAACCCCACTTTCCTTCTCCTAGTGAATGTGTGTCAGCACTACCCAGGCTCAGACGATTCCAGATTTGGAGCTTGATAAAAGCAAGAAATTATAGTACCTTTGACAGTAAAGGCGAAATCAAGAATGGAAATGGTTTTGTCAGGGGAAATAAGTCACCCATCATCTTTTCCTATATTTCTACATAAATGGTTAACAAAATCACAAACTGAGATCTACTGGGAAACTCAGAGCTTCCACTGGTAGATCTCCAAATTGGACAGCACAACCTTGGTTTCAGGAGGAAGGAAAGTGGGTGGGAGTGGTCACCCATGTACCTCTTGGGGCAGTCCCTTGGTACAATCCACACTGGTATTGATCTCATTCCCACCCTGGAATGAACTTCAATCCAACCAGGGACACTAAGTCATGGGGCCAATGGAGAATAGACGATCCACAGAGTAAAGCTGCAG